CAGCTACACTGTTGATAGGTTGGTGCTGGACTGAGATAGCACAGTTCATTGTCACTACTTTAAGTGATACTGATGTTGGCAGGCCCATATAGCTGCTCCTGGAACATCAACCACGTAGAATTGGGTATCCAGCCATGGAGAGTTCTCGTATTTGCACCTAATATTTGTGGTGCCATAACAGTTTATCTTTGTGTTGTTGTAGGCTGTTAGTAGGCATTGTGTTGAGGTGAGTGATCTGGGTATTGGATTTCCAGCTTTGTCTATACTGGTGGGGTACATCTTGCGGAATATGCGGATAGGCAGTGTGTTTGCTTGTGCCCCTGTATCTACCTTCAGTGCCTGGGTGGTCCATCAACATGATGTTTAAATCAACAAATGCCTCATTTCGAGGGCCTTTAATATTTGATGATTTTCCACTGTTGGTTTCGATGGAGCTAAAGGTGAGGTTTTCCATCGCTGTGTCTATGTCGGCCATGACTTGGTCGTTGTGTTTGGTGACGCTGTCGACTTTCCTGCCAAACTCCTGTTGTGGGTGTCTCGACTGGTTACAACCGTTAGACCAGGTTTTCCCTTGTCGTCTCTTGGTCTTATGTTTCCCTGAGATGCAGACTGTAGCCCAGTGGCCTACTTTGCCACATGTGTTGCATGTGTCGTTCTTGGCACGGCAGTGTTCTTTGCCAAAACGGTGGTTGCGTCCACAATTTTTGTAAACCTGTCATGTATTTTCTGTCACTCCCTTGCTGTTGGTGTGTACCATGGTTTATTGTGGCTATCTGTGGTAATCCCTGTAGCTGTTGGAGTTGGCTGACATATATTGCTGATGCTTCATGTGAATGGGCTAATTTAACAGCCTCTTCGATTTTGTAACCCTTTGATTTGTTCAACAGTTCCTTTTGTAGTTCAGGTATGGGCGGGCTGGCAATTAGTAACTCAACAAGGCGTTTGTTTACTTCATCAACAGTGAAGTCGCATTTCTTTGCTAGCAGTTGACATCTGTTAACGAAGATGTCTGTTGTTTCTGTTGGCTTTTGTTGGTATTTGCTGAGTTCGAGTCTACAGACGCGGTGGTTGTTTGCCGGTTTGAGCTGCTCCATGAAGGCAGAGAATATTTTTTGTGGATCCTTGCGGTCGTCATCTGTCATCGACCAACTGTTGTATCGGCGTAGGCCTTCTTCGCCGGCTGCGAGGAGAATTAGCGGCACCTTGTCTTCGTGTTTTGTTGCCTTGATGGTGAAGTAAAGCTCCATGCATTGCCAAAATAGTTTGAACAATTTGGCGATGTTTGGCGACCCCCGAGTCAAGACTAGGTACTTGTATTGACACTGTAGCCATGATATCTGCCTGTTAGTAGCAGTTATGTTGTGAACCCGGTGTGGCGTGAGTGAGCGAGAATTTGTGTAGCGTGGACGATTGAAGAAAATAATGTACTGCTGTTTGTACTCACTGATTTATTTCGGTACTGTGATTTCGTAGGGTTGTTTAGTGTATTACCCAGTCTCGCTGCCACCATGTCATGCCGTGTAGTGCATGGATGTGTATTGATAATAATAATAACTCGAACATGTGTGTAGTTATGAATAAGGGACTGTCATAGCATATGTTTATTGATCAAGGCGCATGCATGTTTGTATATATAAAAAACAGATTGACGTTCTGGGAACCTGGAACGAAGGAGTAGGCAATATTATTACAGAAGCTTCTACTGTCAATTAGAGCTTTCAGTTTTTGTCCTTTCATGAATAAATTAGTGGATACTTTAAATTCAGATTCAGTAGCAGCAGAATAAATACTTGAAAGTGTGGGGTTGTTATTGATCAACATCGATTGGATTGCGTTGACAATTGCAACTGGACTTGTTGAGTGGCACATTTTTGCAAAATGTCCAGTTTTGGAACATTTATGGGAGGTCACTTGCCTTGCAGGACATTTGCTTCATGGATGACATAGATTTCCACAAAACCAACATTGTGATTTTGTCATAGCTAACGTGGCTTCTACAGATGGTTTCTCTCATGGTTGGAGTGGGTGGATTCTGTTGGTTAAATGCAATAGCATTTTTTTGTGCAAGGTTGAGAGAAGGAGCCTGGCTATAAGCATTCTGCAAGTCTAATGTTCTATTTTCCAGGAGTCTCTCTTCAAATATGATTAGAGTCCAGCTCATTGATGAATGCATCATGAATGGCTTCCTCTCAGTAGGCTTCTGTGGTTACTGGTTTGTAGTTGCAATGTTTATACAAGTCATGCAGTGCCTGTAGGAATTTCTCAATTGATTCATCAGGTTTCTCATGACGACATGTGAGGAGGTGATGTGCAAAAATCTTGTTCATTGGCTTAACATAAATATTTTCTGGTGTTTGTATGGTTTCCTCGTATGTATTACAGCTTTCCATGTAGTCATACACTGTCCGGTCTATGTGACTTAACAAAATACTGAATTTATTCAGCATTACACCAAGTGTCTGAATAGCATATAGATAGTTGCCAAATGTCTGGTATCAAAATTTCCACTCTTTAACAGCAATTGGTGAATTGGGGTCCTGACTGAATAATATTATTTTACTACAAGAGATTCAATCAATCCCTCAAAATTGAAAATAATAGAGATCTTGCAGAGTAAAATTATGGTGTTTTTGAGATTTACTTAAAGTATAATGGTATCTAAGTTTGGTGAAAGTTTGTATAATTTCTTTAGATATGAAATATAGGCAGTAAATATCTTACAATTGTCTGTAAGAGTTATGAAGACAGTGTTAATGCTGAATAGTAAAAAAATTAAATGTTCTCATGAATTTCACTAAAATTTGGTATTTTTCTAGTTAGACTGAAACCTTCAGTGATCTCCACAGCCATAATGAACTTATATTCATTTTTAGTGTGTTGGATACTTCTATAATTAATGTATGTTTCTTATGGGAATATTTTACAATACGTGAAATAATAGTGGTGAAACGGTACATGCACAAAATAAGAGAGACCAATTGATTTGCAATGCAAGATAAATTTTATTAAATAAAATAACAAAAGGAAAGTTTAAGATTATTTTCCTAGAAGTAAGTTGCATACACAATGTAAATTGTTAATGAAAGTATTTGAGTGTGACTTGCCTGTGTAGGTGTGTTTGTGTATGAAGTGTCCACAGCCCTTTTTGCTTCAGTGTGAAAAGTCAATGGCACACACTTCAAAAGGAGGAAAAACAGGAAAAGAGAGCTACTTAAGGGTTTGCTTCTTTTTATACCTCCAGGGCTGCTGCTGATACTATGTTTATTAAGGCACTACACATTCATACATGCAAGAGAAAGGCAGTTGAATTTGTACTGTTGAGAAATAAAAAAACAAAATCACTCAAGGTTCTCTTACTCTCTACTCAACTATTTAGCAAGCGGCAAAGTAAAAATGCATGATATTCATGAAAAATACAGTTGAGGTTTTGCTTTTTAGTTTATCATATAATTAAGTTGATACAACATAAGTCTCAACAGTCATCTTTTGTATAATGTTAGTAAAAATTTAAGTTCCTTTGAAATTTACTCAATCTGTGTAATCAGTCATCTGTAGTATGTTATTTACAAGCCCAAAACTAAGAAAATAGGTTTCATGTGAACTTATGGAAAAGAATATCAGTCAGTGACTTTTTTTTTCACTTGCTAGACAGAGAAATATCATTTTTGGAAAAAATAGTTACTCAAGTTGAAAAATGGAGTCATAATGATAACTGTAAATGAAAAAAACCATGGTGAGATTCAGGACAGCCATCAGCATCTCAAAGTAAATGTGTTCTTTTCTGTGAATTTGTCATTATGAATTACTGAAATCTGGACAAATTTATTGTGTTGTATGACAGTGAGCAATTGGAAGACAAAAGGACTTTTTGGGAGCAAGGAAGTTTTCTAGCCATTGTGTTGCATAGCAATGCATGTCCTTATGTCCTTCCACATGTGATGTTTGAGGCTTGTTAGAAAAGTATCCAGTTATTTGAATATTTTCAGAACTGGTTGTATGATCTGATATAATTTAAAAACTAATCAGAGACCTTACTGCATATTCATGTATAGACACTCCTGTGAGATGCCAATCAGTGAGCTTGTGTACTGTATTACCACTGCATTCAAAATGATTTTATTAAATAGATTAACCTCAAGTTTGCCTGTGGAAACAATTCAAAAGTTTTAAAGGAAGGATTAAAAGAGTGAAGCCCAGATAAATGTTTTGTATCAACACTTCAAACATGGATAGACAAAAATTGATTGAAACCAATCCATATTCTAGAAGGTTTCAACAAGCAGAATGCCTGAAAATGTTTACCATGTGAGAATTAAAAGATTTTGGAATCCCACAGACTGTCTGAAAAGTATTCAGTCATTTTGAATATCTCAATTGCCAATTTCAACTGCCCATTTGTCATGTCATGTGCAGGTTTATTTTGCAAAACATTACATTACCTCAAATCTATCATCCCTGGTAGAATCTAGATTTAGTTTCTCGTGATTTCTAGTTTTTACCAAATCCAGAACTGCTGTTGAAAGAGAGGAAACTTCAGATTGTGGACAAAATGAAGGAGAACATGGCAAAGCAGGCGATGATGAACCTGAAAAAAGGACTTTTCAGATGTTTTTGAAATTGAAAGGGAAAAAGAATTGTTGGGAAAAAGGTGTGAGAGATCCTAAAGAAGACTGACTAAGGTGCCATTAACTTTAGGTATTCTCCAGACCTTCACATGATCACTTGTTATACTGCATGCAATGCTCTTTGTCTAACCAACAGTTCCAAATATTGAAGAATTCTTTGAAGAATTAACTGGAATCATTCTTTTAGGATTTAATACACAATTTATCTGTAAAATTAAATAAATCATAGAAAGTGAAGTAAAATACTTTGATTGCTCAATAATAATGCTATGGATTTCCATAGCATCATAGCAAAGATTTTAACAAAAATTTTTGGAAACTTTTGCATCAACACTAATAACATTGAGCTTGGTATATCAAGAAAATGTGACTTACTTTCTTGACTCTTCATATTCGATTTGTTGTTTCATAAACATAGCATTCTTCAGCAAATCTTGGATATTTTGGAAGTGAATCCTGCTGTTCTGCATGGCATTTACAGCACTAGAAAAAAAACCAATGTGAAACAAATAAAACATTTTTCAAGATTACTACATTTGCTATTTGCTAATATTCATAACAAAAATTGATTTCTATCCCAATTCTTGGTTGAGATCAAACAGCACTTTTGGCAAAATGCCTTGAACATAAGCAAACCTATTTAGTTAAATTTATTCCTGACATTCTAAATATAAAAAGACCTGTGATCACTTGTTATAATGCATGCCAAAGTGATTTTTGTCAATGTTAGCATAAAACAATATGCATTATATAATAATATATTTTTGACATTTCTTTCCCCATGTTATGACAAAATGTAATGCAATACAATATTTCATTTACATGAATCAATATTACAAAATAAACAGCTAAATATTAACTCTTGAAATTAAAATTATTAATATAGAATTTTGAGAATTTGGGGTGCAAGAGATGTTACAAAATATGATTCCATGAAATATTTTATGCAAATATCCTACTTAGTGCAAAAAAGAAATTGTTCTTTAGTCAAGCAAAATCTTTTCACACAGGAGAATTTCATTAAAATTTAAAACTAATTTTGAAATACATTACTTCTTTCTTTTTTTACATGTAATAACAAGTTTTCCAAACTGCAACCAATATTAAAAGAAAACATACTTTTTGGCATATTCTGTATCAAAACAGGCTCCTTGAACATTCTGTTGGATTTCTTGAACTTCATGCTAAATAAATAAAATATAGGTAAATTTAAAATGAAATCATAATTATATTGTATGAAAGATTATTTTTTTTCATTTGAATACAAAGACTTAGGATTGTTTCATTTTTTTGTTAGCTACCATATTTTGCAAACATTTTGTTAAAGACTATTGCATACATATGATTTTTTTCAATTTTAATTTAATGAAGTAAATGTCACTGTGATTATTTGCATATATTTGAAAAATTTACAGCTCTTCAATATAAATTTGTTTATAAAAAAGGCTGTCTTAAAAAGAAAAGATTATTATTTCAAATAAGGATACATATATATGTCAGAACAAAAGTTTGAACCATTTTTTAAAGTAAGTTTCAAATACAATATTTTGATATTTGTGCATAGATTTATTCATCTGCAACTGTGCATTTTTGTTCCATCTTTTGCCATCTTTGAGGCAGTTTTATGATTCCATCAAATCAGAACTTGGCATTTTTCTGGGTGAAAATCTGAACTAAGTGTTTTTCACAGGCTTCCAGAAAATTGAATTTTTTTCCATTAAGAGAATTTTGTAGAGATCAATATAAGTGGCAATCTGAAGGTGCAGATTCAATTTAGTACAGTGGATGTAGAAGGACATCCCAGCCAAGCTGTACTGATTTCTGCTGAGCCTGTAAAGAGATGTGAGGTGTGCTATTGTCTTGATGAACAACAATGCTTTTCTGATTGACCAATTCCAGATGCTTTTCTGATTGATTGGTGCCTTTAATTTGTCCAATTAGGAACAATAATTGTCAAAATTCAATGCCTAATTTTATGGAAGGAGGTTTATAATACACAATGCACTATCAATTCCACTAAAATACATAGTATCACCTTCTTCAGATGCAAAATAGCTTTTGGAGTGGTTAATGCTGGCTCATTTTTCCTCGGGACCTTTTTGACTCCACATTGTTGTAAACAATACATTTTTCATTGCTTGTGATCAACCTTTTAAAAATAGCTTATTTTTGCTCAAACACAAAAAAATGAGTCTGTCTATATTTCTGAGATGAGGTATTTACATTAGTCGGACTATTGTCCTCATCTTTGTCGCCATATTTGTCACAACGTTTCGGCCGTTTTGTGCTCCCGCCTTCTTCAGATGGTTGGAATTTGAACTGAACCCTTTATTTCGATCACTGGGGTAGACTGTCCTCAAGGACACATGGCACAGTGGATAAAGGCGTTGGTTAGATCCAGTGACAGACCCAAAGAAGGTGAGTTCAAGATCTGGTTAAGGCAGTGGAGAACTTTCAGAGGGAAAAGTAGCAGGATATAGCTGATAACTGACATCCATCAAACATGGCACGTGGAACTAGAACAATCAACCCCAGTGATCAAAATAAAGGGTTCAGTTCGAAATTCCAACCCCCTGAAGAAGGCCGGAGCGTACAACGGCCGAAACGTGGTGACAAATATGGCGACAAAGATGAGGACAATAGTCCGACTAATGTAAATACTGTACAAAAAAATGACTATTTTTTTTAATCCCAGAGGGAAATGCAGTTTGTTAAATTGTGAAGCACCCAAATATAATAGCAATTCACGCACACAAATGTTTTAAGATGCCTTACAAATGCACATATGATATATGTGGAGATCAATGCAATATGACATAGATTATTTTTAATTACCATTTTGAATTGGTCATCATCAATGATTGCAGGCCTACCAAAACATTCCTGGTCTTCCAGATCAAAATTTCCACTTCAGAACCCAGCAAATCACTTAAAAACAGTACACTCAGCTATAGTACCATCACCATAAATGGTATATATCTTTTTGTTGTTTATACAGTGTTATTTCCATTTTGGAAATAAAAGGGCATCAATTAATAAAAATGCATCTCATTTGCCTCCATTTTCACTTTTACTGTAAAAACATTACAATTCACAATCCATACATGAATCATATAGAAAGATACATTGAAATATCACATTTCAGAATATATACTATATTTGCCTTTGTATAAGATGTGTTTTTTTTATTTTTAGATTATCAAAAAACTGCCATGTGCCTAATACAGTTGTATTACATATGTGCCAGTAGGCTAGAGTGTCAAAGGAGCCTGAGCCCACAAGGCATAAAGATTGTTACTAATACTTTTTTTTGCTGTTTGTATGTCTGTAACTGCTTGCAGAAATACCATTTCTGTTAGAATGCATTTGGTTTTTCCCCTGTTGTCTGTTATATACTACAGGTAATATTCAGTGAACTATTTTGCTTTGTCTTCATGTACTGTATTGTACTTTACTTATTGCTTTATATCAGTTTGCCTTGTTTATATGTACTTGTACTCATTGATACAAATATACTTCTACTTTGGCAAATTTAATTTAGTTTCTTTTGAATGCTTTTTCTTAAATCATTTCATCCCAAGTAAGGCAATAAAGCCACTAAGACACAAGGGGTTACTGAATGTTAGAGAATATAAGAAAAAAAAACACTATTAAAGATTCAGAACAATAAAAGAACAGAAATTAAGACAGAAGATTGATGATTGACTTTGCATTTAAATTTTTGAAGATCAAACTTGACTGAGCAGGAAGAAGTCAGAACAGAGATCCACAAGCAAGAAGTGCACAAGAATAAACTATTAGCATAGAACTTACAGTTCAAATGTAAAATGATGAGGCCTTGTCGCCAATATAGTAATGTGCTTAAATTCATAAAATCCAAGTACCACAGAGGAAAATTCATAAAGTTATTTATAGAAAAGGCACAGGCAAGTTACATTATGACATTGGAAAAGTGACTGAAGCTGAGATGCCAAATCAGGACAAATAACATTGCAGATACTCCATTGGATTTTATCAAGAATTTCTAAATATATAGCAAGAACACCAGACTAGATGTGGCAGCAACATTCAAAGCAAGGATGAATGATATATGTAAGATAGATTTTGGTGAGAAAAATTGTCTAGCATGACATAGTGAAGCAACTTTACAGTAGTCCTAGCAGTTGATTCAATATAATCTTTCCACTTCATGTCAGTGGAAAATGTTTGTCTGCAAAGAAGCAATGAGTAATTTTCTTGTATTACCTATAGTCTGTTGTTAATGGCTTGTTAATTTTAATGCTTCCAAAATGAATCTGCTCTCATTTTGGAAGCATTAAAATTAACAAGCCATTTCTTGTCTCATTTAACAACAGACTATAGGTAATGTTTTTGATCAGCTGCCAATTTGACCTTATCAAATTGATCAGACTTAATATTAAGACAGGAGTAGATAGTTGTGTCATCAGCATAGATACCAAGTTGAGAACTGATGACATCAGGAAGGTTGTTGGTGAAAATTAAGAACAACATAGGTTCAAGAATAGAGCACTCGGGGGACACATGCACTTATGCAAAAAGACCTAGAAGATTGGTCATTCAAGATAACTTTCATTTCATGATTTGATAAGAAAGACTTAATCAGTTTGAAAATTTGTCCAGAAATATCATAACCTTTCAACTTTGAAAGAAGACCAGTATGCCAAGCCCTGTCAAATGCCTTCAAGATATCCAAAGCAACATCTTTTTTCCTGAATCCCTCCTCTATTGCAAAGTTAATTTCCTCATCATCAGCAAACATCTGCTAATCTAAGTCTTCAGTATGCATATTTTCTGAGCTTCACCATTCTTATCTAAAGCTTGATAGATTCTGTCAACAATAATCATTAATGCATCAACCTAGAGAAGTGAAAGCCATATTGCTTATCTGAAAGAAGACCTTGTGAAGTGAGATTCAAGACCAATTCAAATTTAATTAGAACCTTTAGTACTTTGACAAAAAAGGTAGAAGGCTGATAGTTATATATTTAATTTCACCAATGCCAGCCTTATCAAAAAATAACACAACTCTTTAAAGAGAAAATATTATGAAAATATATTTATAGCAACATTATCAACTATTAACACATGTTTAAAAAACTACATTACATCACCATTTTTCTACAGATCCATTATTCATGAATCTAACTTATCTCTTCCAAATACATAAAAATTAATAGATATACTCTAATGAAAAATTGTTCAAAATATCCTGCAGCATCTCACTAACCATTACATACTTTAACATCCAAAATGTTTTCTTACACTTATTTGAATATTATCTGTTACTTCCTTATACGTGACATGTATCCAAACATTATACTGCATCTTACTAACTTTTACACACTTTAGCATCGAGAATGTTTGCTACACATATTTAAATATTATCCGTTACTTCAATACATGTTACATGTATCTAAGCAATGAAATAGTCTAACACAACATACAATTAATCTGCATGAGATTTTAATCAATTTTCTCATCATCAGCAAACATTTGCCAATCTAAGCCTTCAGTTTGCATATTTTCTGCAGCTAATTTCAGGTACTGTATGCTTGCAATATCAAGAAACTTGTTAAATGAATGTCAAAGATATACCATTTATCAAGAAAGGAATTGATATCAAAAGTAATTTTTGCATTAAATTTGGAGATAGAAGATTTGGCAGTGTTAAGCAAGGCAGCAATCAAAAAGTAAAACAACTCAGGCTGTGGTGAGTCAAAACTTCCAAAAATATTTTCAAGGGCTGTGTATTTAGCCCACTAATTGATTTCTTCAATCTTCTGCAAAGATTTCAGTTTCATTGATTCAACTACCTTCTCTTCTTGATTCTAGAAAGAATGTTACTGTAGTAACAGAATATTTTGATCCAGACATGTTGAAACCAAATTAAGGACATGAGCACAGCACAGTATATGGATTGTAAGAATGTCTCTCTTGTACTTCACTACACCACCATATTCAGGTTAGCAGTTCCATGAAATGACGCACTTGCAATATTCTTCACTTTTTAATCCAGCATAGCCTTCAATTGTTGGTATAATCTATATCCAGTAGCATCTGTAATTTTGTTTAGAGCAAAGAAACATTCTTTTACTTCATCCAACAAAGTATAATGCATAATAATGGATTCCTTGTCAATTACAGCTGTCTTGAATACTATATA